TGGGGTGGGGTGTGGGATGGAGCCACAAGCAGCTTGTTTGGGGGATGTGGGGACGTGGGGAGGGTGGCTCCCACCACTGTGTGCACTCCTGGGCAAGTATGGGTGGGGGGGAAGGGTTCCCCAGATCTGTGCATGGGGTGAGGGCAGGCTGCCACTGCAAGCTTTGCCCCAGGCACCAAACTTCCTTGCCATGGTACTGAGTAACACCGTTGAAGGTAACCAGATTACATTGATGTGAAGCAAGTAGCAGGTTTTAGGATACTTTCAGGAAATACATACAGACATTACATTTAAATCAACTGTCAGTCTTAATGTCCATTTATGTAGGCATTTGGAGGGTTTAAATTGGGCCAAAATGGCCCTGTGTAGGTCCTAACTTAGATCAGAAACAGGTTAACCCAATCCAGTAAATGTCTGCACATGTTTGGAGCACAGCTCTGGACTAGAAAAGTTCAACCACTTGCCCCAGCCACAGGGCTATACTCTTCCTACCCCTTCTCTCTACCCTGTCCCTGCTATTTTTAGCCCCCCAACCCTCCACCCCCAGATGGACAGCCCTCTCTGCAGACTTACTAATCCTGCCCTTTTCCCCTGGCAACCCCAGCAAGCCTTCTGAGACCCATCAGCCTCTGCAATGACCCACTACCCCCTTGAGTCTATCCACTCTTCTCTCTATTCTGAGTTCCTGTATGGACCAAGGACTTGAAGTTACAGCAAGTAAATTTAAATTGAATATCTGGAAAAATGTCTTATTGACATTTTATAGAAGCAGGACGTTGGCTGCCATGGTTCCCCTGCTTTACCTGTGGCAGGTTAAGGTGTTAGGTCTGTGTTGTGTCAGGGTTAAGCATAGTCTTATGTAGAGTTTAGGGGTGGGCAAAATGACAGATCCAGGTGGTGGCCAGACTTCATTTCCCAGAACTGTGGTTTCCATGGAGACCCCAGGAGTGGCAGTGGGGTGTGCAGGCAGAGGATTGCAGCTCTGCCCCGACTTTGACCCACGCTGTCACTACTGCAAGATCCCAGCCCCAGCCCTGGAACAGCTCCCTACCCAGACACATACCCTGCCAGTGCTGCTGGGGCTGGTCTCCATGGAAACCGTCGCCCTGTGCTGCCATGGCATTGCTGCTCCTGGGGTCTTCATGGAAACTGGCCACGGCAATGTGGGCAGGGGTTGCTAGGAAATGGAGCTGGCTGCAGGCCCTATCTGGCCCACAGGTCAGACTTTGCTCCCCCCCACCGTTTAGATTACAGTTGTATGGGATGGTCTGGATAGGGATGATCCTGCCTCAGGCAGGGGGTTGAACTAAATGACCTCTGGAGGTCCCTTTCAGCCTGCCTTCTCTGTGACTTGTACTGAGTTCCCCACACAGCTCGCAGCTATGCTTAATGTAAGCCACATGATTTTAGCCCAGGCACGGCTAACATTTTTACACATCCAGGGTAGATAGGAGGCTCCATTTTGAGACAGTGTAGTCTGGGCTGGATTATGGTCTCTGGTTTTGCTGCTTTTTGCTACTAATCTGTTGTGTGACCTTGTGAAAGTAGCTTGTCCTCCATGTGTCCCTTCTTTATTCCCATCTATAAACCACACCATTTCTATATTTTTTATTGCTTTGCTGAAGAATAACTCTATATTTGAACCACACATAGCAGAATGGGGCCCTGATTTCAGTTTGAGCCCTGAAGTATAATGAATAGTTTGAACTTGTTGGTAAGCTTCATTTAAAAAAACAGAAGTTTTTTTTAATAACTTTGGTCAGCTCTACTTTAAAAAAACCCTTCCAATTTCCTGCAAGAATTTAATTTTCTTTCTTTTTCCCTTCTTCCCCTCTCTCCAGTGTCAAGAACTGGAAAAAAAACGAAAAGGACATACTTTTGTTCAGATTTGTTTTTGAAAAAGCCATTTCCTGTCCAAAATGTTTGTGACAGAAAAATTGGATCAGCTCTAATAACAATATTCATTTCAAGATAATTTGGAACTGTTCTTCCAAACCTCAGGTTCTGCCTGCAGCCCATCCCTAACTTTCCATTGACGGAACTATACGCCATAGTAAAAGAAGCACCAGCAGATGATTTAACTTATCATTTTGGAAGAAGGCACATGTAAAGTCCCTTTTAAACTAACCACATGTTATAAGAAATAACATACTGGATTTGGAACATACCTATTTTTTGGTCATCAGAGCTGTAACTTAATATTTCCTGCTGGTGTTCTTACTGAACTCCTAAAATCTTCACCATATGATAGCTATGTGGATTTATGTCCTTACTGATAGCTTGATAGTCTGTAATATAGTCTGGTAACTAGTTGCACACAAATTTATCTGTTGAAGACTCCCCTCAAATCTAAATCTAAATTCTGTGTGTGCTGTCAAAGGTCACATTGGGCATGACCATATTCTTAAGCCACACAATACCCATGTCATATCAATCTTTGTTTATTCTTATAACAAAATTTCTAGTAATGCCCACCAGAAGAGGTCAGAGAATACATCCTGAAACTTCTCACTCTTCATCTATTTTATCTATGCAAACAGTACCTTGTTGTAATGCCTCAGTGCTGATTACTTTTTAGCATGCTAGAAGCACTTCAGTATGTTCCAGAGTGTATTGTAAGTGAAGCTGTCAGATGTTTTCATAAAACCTATGAAGCTTATGGAGCCTGGTTTTTGCCATCCAACGCACTGTCTGTTAAAATCTACTCAGTACATGATCTTCTGGGTTATGATTCAAGATGGTTCTTCCCTTGGCCTTTCTCTACAAATTTTTTCTGCGTTAGGTGGTTTTCCTTCTCTCTAAAATGAGTGTAACTTTCCAAAACCTATTCCATCACCTTTCTTTGTTACTTTTGCCATTAAACCATTTTGTGTTTCTCTGGTGACCTGTACTTTGAAATTTGCAGCGATTTTTATCGCTGGTTTCATTATCATTTGCTTTCACCATTTTCACAGTGACTTGGTTTTCACCTGCAGTTTTCCTAGGATTTAACATTTTTATTTCATTTTTCACTTTGTTTTGACAGTGTTGTTCTTGTGGCCATTATAGTTAAAGGATAAGAGCGAAACAAGATTTATGTGGTGACGTAATATCTTTTACTGTCCCAGCTTATTTAGTTGGGAGAGATGGCGAATAAGCTTTCAAACTTCACATATACTTCAGTTTATGTGAAATATGGGATTCTCTAGTTCTGGGTATTAATACTTCCTTGTGGTTTTGCCCTCTTCCAGCAACTTCTTTGAGAGGTTGGCTCCTTCTCAAGTAGCATTTGAAAATGTTTTGAACTTTCTTACCAGCGGTTCTCATCCAAGAAAGTTTGTCTTCCTAATTTTAATGGAAAGGATGCACAAACAAACTCTTCAGATACTGCACAAGGGGAGAAGTTGTTGCTTCTGTCTGAATGGTACAGAAGCAACATTTAGTGCTGACAGATGAATGTTTCATTTGGATTTAACACTTTTTTTTCTACAAAATAATTTGAATGTATTACCTAATACTTTTCATATATAAAATAGGAGTATTCAGGAATTAATATGAGTCTGACCCAAACCCATTCAAGTCCATGAATCCTTCTATTTATTTCAATGGGCTTTTCATTATGCACTACACTGTGTGATACAGAAAATTCATCAGGATTTAAGCCTGTGACAGGCCATAAAAAGTGGCCAGCATGTTATCAGTCTAACACCAAAATGGTGCCCATAATACAGAGAGAGGCAGCTCCAGTCTGTTCTCAGTATATGATGGGTCAGGGCTGCTGCCAAACAGACAGCCTTAGTTAGTTCATTTGGCATCACTCCCTGCTCGCAAGGGTTTGCAAAGAAGGAGGTCTTGGTGTTTAGTGTTTCTTCAGAGCCAAGGAATCTGACAGAGGTCACCTGCATCCCATATCAAACTAATTAGAATTGGGACAGTGAGTCTTCACAACACAGCCATCAATTATCTTATGCTAAAGCCTCACATATGTACAGCTAGTCAGTAGGGCTGTATGAAGCTTTGGGTGGTGATTTGATTTGGAGGAGATTTGGTCCAATTCGGTGGCCAAATCTCCAAATCTGAATTGAATCAGGGGACCAATTTAAAGGTCTGAATCGATTCAAAGCTCTCTGAAACTTCAGAAAAGATTCAGAGAGTGTTGATGATTCGGGCAGTCCCTGGTGGCTGCAGCAGGGAGCTGCAGCCAACTCCAAGCTGGTAAGTGCTGAGGGAGGGGACCATGGGGGGACCCCTGCCAGCCCCCATGACCACCCCACTCCACCAGCCCCCTGACCCCTGCCCGATCCCCCAGACCCCCATGGCTGCCCAAGCCTGTCCTGGCTCCTGGTACTTTAAAACAAAGCCCAAGTGCTCCCTGGGTGCTGCCGGGTGAGGGGACAATCCCCACTGAACCCCACTGACCCATGCTGCATGGGGGGCTCTGCATCAGCCCCCCTCCCTGCTCCCCCAGACCCCACACAGATGCCCCTCTCAGGCCAGTTTCGGCCCTCTAAGAAAAAAAAAAAAAACAAGAAAAGCCCTGGGACTCAGCACTCCTGGTGCAGCCTTGGGGCTTTGCGAGGCTCATGAAGAGCCTCCCATGTGGTGCAGGGCAATGGAGGGCAGCAGAGATCCCCCCTGCTGGCAGGAGCAGTGAGTTCGGGGGGTTTTTAGGTTTTTTTTTTTTTTTTCTTAAAGGGCCAGAGCT